CCATATAAAATATGACCAAGTGTAAGGAAAAGGCAATTTTAAAAAGGTTATGAATGACATTTTCCAAAACTTCATGGTGATGCTTTCCCATGTGTAAGGGGGAAGCATCATTGTGGCTGAGGTGGGGCACAGGGCTCCAGAATTGCCCTGCTGCCTGCAGATTTGCCACAGAGGCTGGCAAATCACCCCACTGCCTCCTCATCAATGTAATGAGATCCAGAGATAGAGAAGTCACATATAGCTCTACAGCAGAGTACAATCGGTACCCACTATTACGTCCTTCAAGTGTGCTTATTTCTGCATGTTTTCTTTTTGTTTTCACAAAGTTACCAAAGGGGACACCCTAATAAATCGAGTCAAGTGCTAGTCTCAGTTGGAAACACAACCTGTGATGGTTGTTGGGCTGAGGTTAGAGTGATGGGGAGCAGGGATGAAATTTTAAGGGATATTGGACCTATTTTCAGGGAAGTTGGAATCTTAGGCTTTAGGTTATATTAAAATGTAACGCTAGAGTGGCTGTTTTAAGGAAGAAGGAGGCGGTAAAGACGAAAAACCTCAATTCTTGCATTTGCCACATAGAGTTGAAAGAGACCTCATGGGCCATCCAGCCCCCTGCCAAGAAGCAGGAAAATTGCATTCAAAGCACCCCCAACAGACGGCCATCCAGCCTCTGTTTAAAAGCTTCCAAAGAAGGAGCCTCCACCACACTCCAGGGCAGAGAGTTCCACTGCTTTTTTTTGTTGTGTCAGGAGCAACTTAAGAAACTGCAAGTCGCTTCTGGTGTGAGAGAATTGGCCATCTGCAAGGACGTTGCCCAGGGGACGCCAGGATGTTTTGATGTTTTTACCATCCTTGTGGGAGGTTTCTCTTGTGGAGATTCATCATGAAATTGTTGTCTTCATAGCAAAGCTAAATTTCTCTCACACAAATGGGGAGAAAGAAAGAATGGCACAGAGTTGGCAGTTTCCCCCTCTGTAGGAGAAGGACATGGTAGAGGCAACTCAGAGGCAAAGAGAAAGGAAGACCAGCAAAGGCAAGAGCTGAGGCACTTGCCAGCACGCTGAGGGGAAGTAGGGAAATCAAATCTATTTCACTTTGCTGCTTTCTCTGAGGGAAAAACACCCTCTCACAAACCCATAGTGAGCCACTAAAAACTTATCTGTGGCCCGAAGAGATTTAGGCTGTTTAATTTTGCCCCTTCCTATTGCCAAGTTGTGCAAACCTTATGCTTTGTGCATAAGGTCCACTAGTGCAGGAGATTTGTTGTTCTTTCCTTTTTTTGAGCTTCCTTTGCTCCCTGAGAAGCATCTCCTGGTTGGGACTCCTCCCCCAAAATCTATGTGATATGGGGAAAGTAACTCTTCACTTGCTCAATTCCTGATATTTAAACCACTACAACCACCTATTTTCCTGAAGATCCCAGGACCACTGGGAGAAGATATTCAAGGAGTTGTCCATTGAGACAGCACTGCACTTAATTTTGTGTTGGAGAGCAGCTCTTTGGTTAAATGGGAGATTTGACAAAATGCCAACCAAAGGACTAAGATCACTATTTGACTACAGGAAGTGTAATAACCGGAATGAGGGTCAGCTTATGTCCTTACCCAATGGTTTTCTTCCAGATTGTGAAACATTTAATGTATCCCATGATGGCTACTCAAGTGAACTGATTCCTTTAGGCTACCTTCTCAGTCCTGAACATTTCAGCCATTAGCATTTTATTTATTTATTTTAAATTTGGGGGATTTCCTATTGCAGTTTGATAATGATCCCTCCTCAAGCATTTATCCTGATCGCCTTTTGGCAAGGCAGATGGTATAATCATTGACAGCTGCGCAGAGGCTGGCTATCATTAAAAAGAACTCTAAATACAGGCTTCCAGGCAATTCCTGGAAATTGAAGCATAAATAGAAGGAATAATAGAACATTGGCCTTCAAAATGACTTAACAGTTTATCCATATTTCATTCCTTAACCTGATTTGTGCCTTTATAGCAGACACTTATTTTAAAGAGCTATTCTTGGCAAAATCGAAGAAGATGGTGAACATAACCCAATGATTATTGCATTCCCCCTTTTCCCTTCCAATATTGCTCAATGTGGGAAAGTTTTCTCCTGTAAGTAATAATAATACTAGACTGCCCTCTCTCCCCAAATGGACTCAGGGCAGCTTACATGCATATAAAAGGCAAACATTGAATGCCATAATTAAAAACACAGTATCAAAAGATGGAATTTAAACATTAACAAACTTATTACAAAACAGAATTAAGATAAAATAATGAAAGATACAAATACTTAAATAAATCATAATTACACCAATAAAACATAATTGCACAAAATCATGTATCCTGAAAAATTAAAATGACCAAACTGCAAAATGTGCCAAGCATCAGTTGTAATTCAAAATAGACCATAGCAGCCATAAAGTGCAGATGAAGTCTAAGAGAAGCAGTTTTATAAGATATGTATTCTGGTCTTAGTATGTCTGGTCCTACTTAAATTGATTTTTTTTATATATATAGAAAGGATGACATAGATTCAGTGAAATCACAACACAGTAGTGTTAGCACCTGTCTTGCTGTAGTAAATATTAGTGTGTGTGTGTGCAAGAGAGAGGCAGACAGACTGAGATTCATCAGTACTATAGTGTGGGGAAATAGGATTCACTTCTTTCCGACTGTCCTAGTTCTGGCTATATCTTTCCAACTATATCAATATGGCACTATAGTCATTTTAATAGTTACAGCTCTATTCTATGAAATGTTTGGAAGTCTCTGCTCTGGAGTGCAGTGGAGGCTCCTTCTTTGGAGGCTTTTAAACAGAGGCTGGATTGCCATCTGTTGGGTGTGCTTTGAATGTGATTTTCCCACTTCTTGGCAGTGGGTTGGACTGGATTGCCCATGAAGTCTCTTCCAACTCAAGGATTCTATGATTCTATGATTTGTATTTTGGGGGAGGATACATTACAATGCATTTCCCTTACCAATGCTCCAAGCCTATTCCTTCCCAAAGGTGTTTGTGAGCCTCTCAAGATCTTTCAGTGCTATTCTGTGGTATGCTTCCAGCTCAAATATAGTCAAAATATAGGGTTCATGATTATTCAGGGCTTCAGGTATCCACAAGAGGTCTCGTGATGTATCCCCAGTGAATGGGGAGGTCATACTGTATTTAGAATTGCCAATAAGAGAATTATGTTGCCTTTCCAAACTACAAGTCCCAGAATACTCTAGGATCCTTAGTGAAATCATAGCACTGTAGTTGTGTAGTGTGAAAGGGCTCTTGTTTTTATTCTGAAGATGTAATAGGGATTATATTTATCTCTCTGGCAGCCAGTTAGTTTCTGGGCAAAGTACAAAGTGTTGGTTTTGATCTTTAAAGCCCTACATGGTTTGGGTCCAGGCTTCCTAAAGGATTGCCTTCTCCCATACAATCCGCCCTGACAGCTGAGGTCCTCTGAGGGACATCTGCACCAAAAAGCTGAAACCTTACTGGCAACCACCTCCCAGAAGTTGCCCCAAGACTGTGAAACAATGCCAGAAGAATTATGACAGCTAAATGAACTGTCGCAATTTAAAAACTATGTAAAGACCTATCTTTTCTGGCAGGCCTACCCAGACAGTCATTAAGCATGCATTTTAAATGTGTGTCCTTTGTTTAATCTCTGTTTTGTGTATTTTAATATGTATTTTATAGATATAGGTTTTGGTGTGTAGCTTTTATAGAGATACATTTAAATTTGTGTATTTGTGGTTTTTTTGCAGTGTTTATGAGTTTTGATTGGTATACAATTTCTGGATCATGGGATTTTAATGTTTATACTAGGATGATTTTATGCTGTCTCAATGTTTACATTTTATGTATTTCTTATGTTTAATGGTTTTTAATTGATTTTTGTTTAATTGTTTTAATTGATTTTACATAGTTATTGTGTAGTAATTATTATGATTTCTTTGTATGCTATATGTTGGCATTGAATTTTTGCCATTAGTATGTTATAAACTGCCTTGAGTCTCCCCAGGGGTGAGAAAGTCAGTATACAAATACAGTAAATAAATAACATAAAATAAATAAATTCTGTTCTGTAACCCACCTTGAGCCATGAGGAGAGGTGGGTGAGAAATAATAATAATAATAATAATAATAATAATAATAATAATAATGCCAGAGCGTTTGCAGTTTGATTTTGAGGTCCTGATATAAAAACCCAGTCATTTTCAGGACCTCAAAATCCAATTGCAAACGCTCTGGCATAAACCAGTCCAGGTGGTCCCAGTGGTCATCGGTACTCTGGGTGCTGTGCCAAAAAATCTCAGCTGGCATTTGGCAACAATGAATATTGACAAAATCATGATCTGTCAACTGCAAAAGGCCACCTTACTTGGATCTGCGTGCATCATTCGAAAATACATCACACAATCCTAGATGCTTGAGAAGTGTTCGACTTGTGATTTTGTGATATGAAATCCAGCATAGAGATCTCATTTGCTGTGACATACTGTGGGTTTATGTGAATAATAATAACAACAATAATAATAATTTATTTTTTTGTCATGTCAGGAGCAACCACTCCTGTTGTGAGAGAATTGGCCTTCTGCAAGGACGTTGCCCAGGGGACGCCTGGATGATTTGTTTTGATGTTTTATCATCCTTGTGGGAGGCTTCTCTCATGTCCCTGCATGAGGAGCTGGAGCTAATAGAGGGAGCTCATCCGCCTCTCCCCGGATTCGAACCTGCGACCTGTCGGTCTTCAGTCCTACCAGCACAGTGCTTTAACCCACTGCGCCACCGGGGGTTCCTAATAATAATCAACATTCAGTAATCCAGCAGCTAAGTTCCCAATGCTAGCATTTATGGCCCAGAGATATGGAGATCTCAGCTGTTGTTTTAGAAAGTCATCTTATTCACTTGTTAATGTCCATTTTTTGCCTCAAAAAAAAAAAAGAGGATATCCTCTGACCAAGGCAGCTGTTTTACAAATAAAATTATCTCCTATTGCAGGCAAAAATGACTCAGTTGCCAGAGGCTGAGAGAGAAAAGATTGCCGAACAAGTGGCTGACTTTAAGAAAGTCAAGAGTAAGCTTGATGCAGAGATTGAGATATGGGATGATACCAGCAACGACATCATCGTTTTGGCTAAACGGATGTGTGTGATTATGATGGAGATGACAGACTTCACAAGGTAATTATGCAGGACCCCCCCCCTCCAATATTTGTAAGGGCTGGAAGCAGTTGTCACATTTCAAATGGAAAGACACAAAAAGCCTTTACAATGACAGGTGACAAGTGAGTGTCACAACAAATAGATCTGAAAATGGAAGCATTATCTGAGAAATATTGAACTGTCAAAATGAATGTTTAAACAATTGTACTGTGCTTGGCTTGGGGAGAGGCAATGTGATGCATGTTTATCTTTCTTCTCTTTGTTTTCCTTCTCTTTTGCTTGAAGCCATTCTCTCTGGATGATCCTTTTAGCTCTGTTAAACAATGAAGTGACCTAATGGGAGTCAAGTCTTGCGTTTAAGAATTCCTTCATAGAAAAATGGCTTGAACTCATGCAGCCTTAGTTTCCATTGTGTATTTTGGGCCTCTCTGTAGTAGAAATATAAAAGTTCATGGTGAAAAAATGATGAAAACAAGAAATCTCTTAACAAAAGTCTAGAATTCCCAGGGCTCCTAGAGAAGGCAAAGAACAATTTGAACCATTGGATAGATGAGCTCCCTCATCTATTACTTTCATTTCTTTCTTTCATTGTCTATACTATGTTGGTCTTTTTGCAAAATGCCTTTGTATCATAGTGTATCTATGCAAGCAAATTAAATGTTCACTGCAAAACCAATATCTGTTTGTGCAAAATGGGAGGTGTGCAATCTGTGTCCATTTGCTGATGGAATCCTCTTTGAGCTCACGGTCTAGGTATCCATCAACCTACTTGCCAACCTATAGTAACCAACCCATCTAGCCCTCCAACTATACCAGTGAGCCTTCTTGGGATATCCAGAGTAATAGATGTGCAATTTACAGAAGTTCTTACATAGTTCCCATGATAACTGGTGGGAAGGACCACCTAACACATAGCTAATCATGACCCTGGTTGTCCAGACTCACAAGGTCACATAAGATGCTCCCCTCAGCTAGGTCTGTAGGTCTTGTCCACCTATCACTAGAGCTGAACCTCATGCAAATGTTGACCAAAGTTGTGACAAAAAAATAAGGACCCATTCACACACACTACGGGAGTATATCTGGAGAACTGTCAAAATATGTCATCTCTAGGCATGTTCTAGGCCCTCTAGCATGAATCTATGTATTCTTGGATCAGAAATCTTTCATTCCAAGAGAGTTCACTATTATCTGTGGTTTCACATATCTATGCAAAGGCTGGGAACATATCCCCCAATGATATGTTGATGATATTGTAAATATAAAACCAAAACAAATCAACATAATGGAAAGCATTAAACCTATGGGAGGGTGAGTGGAGACAAAACTGAAAGCTGACTGGTAACATTGAAACCTGACTTAGAATGATAGGAGATTGACCAAAGTGAAGCCTTCACTTAGCCCACAATTCACAGATTTAATATTTTTCATGTTAGCTCACCTGCACAATTGTCAGGATTTTCCTGTGCTTCCCAGACCTCATGCAAACCACACAGACATCTGTGAAGGGGAAATCTCACATCCTATAGAAAATTTCCCATGGTCCATCTCACTGTAGGCTACAAATGATGTTTCATGGTAAGTTGGGGGACACTATTGTGGTTCTTAAATATAGAATATAGAAGGACCTGAAATTGGCCATCCCTATGAAGGGGGTAGTGAACTTAAAGCTTCAAGCTGAGTAGTTGACAAGTTTAGTCTCAGTCTGAATCCTGCTCTATTCAACTGTCAGTGATAAATAAGGATTGTCCCACATCCCCCTCCCCCTCCCCCCGAGACACATCTCATTGTTTATATTTGAATGGAATTAAGGTACAGTGGGGTCTTCTCCATGCTGGTAATATCTACACATGTTGAATTTGGAGCCTGTACAAATTAGGGATAATTTTTTTAAAGTCTCACAATTCACAGATTTCATATTTGAGTTGCATTGAGAATTGTAATGAGAAAGAAAGCAAAACTGTCAGGGTTTCTAATTTCTCTCTAATGTTGCTAAGGGAACTTCTAGTCCATTCACTTTATAATTTATGAAATTGCAGTTAGAACAAAATATCAGAGCAACCTTATCACTGGGATCAGTTGGAGACACATCTGTAGCTCTCTGACTCATAACTGGCTTAGATGTCAGCTTTTATGAAATCTTTTTGGAAAAAGGGAAATGTAATCATATGATTCTAATTGCCACTTCATTTCCCTTTGATACTGGGAGAGAAGAATTGTAAAGGGAAAACCCTTCTATATTCCTTCTGAAAGCTCCAAGAAAAGATCATTAAGATGATTCTCTATCTGAATAATTTCATGCTGAATTTTCGGTTCACCTCAGGAAAACTACAAAGTCAACTGAAAGCATATTCCTATGATGTGAAAGCATGTTCTACTCATCCTGCATTAGTATCCTGCCTCCTATGCAAAAAATACCTTAGAAATGTTTTTCTAAGGCACAAATCCTACTATTTAAACTAAGTAAAACAAGTATACTGCCCTTCTCTGCATATGCAATCTACAGAAGAGATCCAAGTTCTAGAGAGCATCATCCTAAGAGAGTTTGGGCAGACAGATTCTTTGAACCTTTTTCATGCTGGTTACACTGCTGGTCAATTGTAGTAGTGGTACTGAAATGGGTTGTTGTAGGTTTTTTTGTGCTATATGGCTATGTTCTAGAGGCATTCTCTCCTGACGTTTCGCTTGCATCTATGGCAAGCATCCTCAGAGGTAGTGGAATCTGTTGGAACTAGAAAAGTGGGTTTATATATCTGTGGAATGACCAGGGTGGGACAAAGAACTCTTGTCTGTTGGAGCTAGGTGTGAATGTTTCAACTGACCGCCTTAATTAGCATTAAATGGCCTGGAAGTGCCTGGGGAAATCTTTTGTTGAGAGGTGATTAGATGTCCTTGTTTGTTTCCTCTCTGTTGTTTTGCTGTTGTAATTTTAGAGTTTTTTAATATTGGTAGCCAGATTTTGTTTATTTTCATGGTTTCCCCCTTTCTGTTGAAATTGTCCACATGCTTGTGTATTTCAATGGCTTCTCTGTGTAGTCTGACATGGTAGTTGCTAGAGTGGTCCAGCATTTCTGTGTTCTCAAATAATATGCCGTGTCCAGGTTGGTTCATCAGGTGCTCTGCTATGGCTGACTTCTCTGGCTGAAGTAGTCTGCAGTGCCTTTCATGTTCCTTGATTCGTATTTGGGCAATGCTTTGTCCTATATAGACTTGTCCACAGCTGCATGGTATACCTTAGACTCCTGCAGAAGTGAAAGGATCCCTCTTGTCCTCTGCTGAACGTAGCTTTTTTTGGATGTTCTTGGTGGGTCTGTAGATAGTCTGTATGTTGTGTTTCCTCATCAGCTTCCTATGCAGTCAGTGGTTCCCTTGATGTATGGCAAGAACACTTTTCCTCTGGGTGGATCTTTATCTTTACTTTTGCGGCTTGTTCTCGGTCTTGCAGCTCTTCTGATGTCTGAGGTGGAGTATCCATTGGTCTGTAAAGCCCAGTTTAGGTGGTTCAGTCCATCTTGGAGGAGGTGGGGTTCGCAATTCTTTTTGCACGGTCTGCCAACCATCTTTTTTGACTTGGGTGATGGTTGGAGTTTTTATGTAGATATCTATCTCTGTGTGTGGGTTTTCTGTAAAAGCCCACTATATGGTTCAAGTATGTGGATGACACTTTCACCATTTGGAGCCATGGCGAAGAAGAACTAAACAGGTTCCTGGACCATCTTAACAGCATCCACCCAAACATCCAATTCACCATGGAAAAAGAAAATGAAGGAAGACTGGCTTTTCTAGCTGTCCTAGTCATCCGTAAACCAGATCAACAATTGGGTCACACCCTTTACAGAAAACCCACACACACAGATAGATATCTACATAAAAACTCCAACCATCACAAGTCTACATAGGGGCCACCAAACGCAGCATTGCCCAAACACGAATCAAGGAACATGAAAGGCACTGCAGACTACTTCAACCAGAGAAGTCAGCCATAGCAGAGCACCTGATGAATCAACCTGGACACAGCATATTATTTGAGAACACAGAAATGCTGGACCACTCGAACAACCACCATGTCAGACTACACAGAGAAGCCATTGAAATCCACAAGCATGTGAACAATTTCAACAGAAAGGAGGAAACCATGAAAATGAACAAAATCTGGCTACCAGTATTAAAAAAATCTCTAAAATTACAACAGCAAAACAACAGAGAGGAAAAAACAAGGACATCTAATCACCTCTCAACAAAAGATTGCCCCAGGGACTTCCAGGCCATCCCAGGCTAATCAAGGCGGTCAGTTGAAACATTCACACCTAGCTCCAACAGACATAACGTGGTACCTTACAGCAAGTACAAACATGGAGCTGTCAGTCCCAGTAATTGCTGCCCTGCATCCTGGCACCTTCTTTTGTAGCAGATTTTTAAAATCTTTAAGATGGACGAGGGACATCCAGCAGATGTTTACTTGTAATGTTTTGAGGGTTTTTCTCTCTCTCTGAGATGTGCTGGACTTCATATGTGCTGATTTGGATATCTAAAAGTGCAAACAAGCAGATTTCCTCTTCACCCTCCTGTAAATTAAATCTCTGTTTAATTTAATAAACATCAGAACAAAGGAATGGTTGCAAAGAGCTCTCATTGTAATTGCTTTCTAATTGTGCTTCCATTTAGCCACCTGTGTGTCCCTGGCTCCGTTTGTTTACAACCCTCATCAGCTGTTTTGGAATTTTAAAATGTGCGCATGTGCTGGAGCAGTCCACACCAGTGTATAGGAATGAAATCACATTTTTTCCTTGACTGCAAGGATATACTCATGTGAATATGAAATTTTTTTGGTCAAAATCTGGTTTTAAGTGCACCTTTTTAACAGGTGTTTTTCAGCTGTTAATGTGAATCAGTGCACATTTTCCTTAAAGGTCAATTAGCTATCCCCTCTTTTTTATACCAGTTTCTTCCATGTATTAGGGCCCGTATAGAAGTGCTCCAAGAGCCATTAAATGCCATGGGGAAAATTGGAAGAATGC